AATTGGACGCGGAGGGCGTGCGGCCAATGGAGAGTTTAGTAAGGAGTGTCAAGGAATTTCCAGTGCCCAAAGACGAGAAGGACGTGAAGCGGTTTGTGCATTTGGCGGGGTACTATCGACGTTATATTGCGAGCTTTGGGACCAAAGCGGCCCCGATGACAAAGCTGTTAAGGAAGAGTACAGAGTGGGAGTGGGGGCCAGAGCAACAACGAGCGTTCGAGCAGCTCAAGGAGGAGCTGACTGCTCGACTTTTGCTGGCGTACCCGGACTATTCAAAACCATTTAAGTTAGTCACCGACGCCTCGGTGGTAGGCCTCGGCGCCGCACTGATGCAAGACCAAGGACAAGGGGATCAGCCTATTGCTTACGCGTCCAAGGTGAACTCACCCGCTGTGGCCAAATACGGAATCACGGACCTCGAGTGTGCTGCGGTGGTGTGGGCTGTTAAGTTGTTCAGGCCCTATTTGTACGGACGCAAGTTCGAGTTGGTCACAGATCACTCGGCACTTAGTTGGTTGATGCGTAGTAAGGATCTGACTGGGAGGTTGCATCGCTGGGCGCTGCAATTACAAGAGTACGACTTTACTATCATCTATCGGCCCGGATCTACGAACGTCGTGGCCGACGCATTATCCAGGGCACCGGTACTACAAGTGAGCGAGTCGGTAGCCCCCGCTGGCGATAGAGACCCTGGCGAGCGACGAGAGGCGTCAGGCGACACAGGGCAGTTGACGGACGAAGAGATCCGTCGGTGTCAAAGCACAGACACACAGACGAAGAGATTGAAGGCGGCAGGACGGCACGGAACACAGCGGATCATTGAGGCTAATGGAATCGTGTACGTCGAGACAGTAGATGGCGAGCGACGAGTCGTGCTTCCAGCGGCACTAAGACACAAAGTTCTGAGGGAGGCTCACGACTCTATATTTGCGTGCCACTTACGGACACCACAGACCTACACGAGAGTGGCAACTACGTATTGGTGGCCAGATATGAGGACGACTGTGCGGCAGTGGGTGCAGAGCTGTCGTGACTGCGGCACGAGGAAGGCACGACCAAAAGAGGTCATCCCTCCTCTGAGAAGCCAAGGACTAGGTAGTGTGGGTGACAGGTGGGCGTTGGATGTCGCTGGATCATTACCCGTAACGAAGCGTGGAAACCGATACGTTATTGCAGCAGTCGAGTACGCCACGAGATGCGCTATCGCTGTCCCTGTACCCGCACACACGGCTCGTGACATAGCACTATTCGTGGTGGAACGGATCGTATTGGTTCATGGACCACTACGGGAGCTAGTGATGGATGGTGCTCCAGAACTGAATGGCAGGGTGATCGACGAGTTGATCGCGCTACTGCAAGCGCGCCAGGCAACTCCTGTTCCATACAGACCAGCGTTGTTGGGACTAGTGGAACGCTTCCAGCGTACGTGGAAATACATGGTGGCTATGTACGTTGCGGAGGACCAGGCGGATTGGGACGAATGGTTACCGTGCGCGGTGTACGCGTACAACGGGGCGCGCCACACCACCACAGGCTTTTCGCCCAACGAATTACTTATGGGACGTCGACTGAAAGCGCCCAACGAACTACTGAGGGCAAGTGGAGTTAGTCAAATTGGACAGTGGGCAGACTACCACCGAGATCTAGTGAAACATGTGCGAGTGGCGACCGAGACTGCACGGAGAGCGGCGGCACAAAACCAGGCACGACGAGAAAAGTACTACAATCAAAGGACGAGGGCAACAACACAGTTCAAGGTTGGAGACGTAGTATGGATTCTGAGGCCACCGAAAGGACGAGGGGTGACGAAGCTAGCCCATCGGTGGGTTGGGCCAGCCAAGGTCGTCGAAGACGTGGGCTACGACAACTGGAAGCTCGTACGCCACGACACTGGCGACACTTTAGTGACACACTGTAGTTTCTTGACGTCTTATCATTGCCCAGAGGGTTTACTGGACGACATAGCACGGCAGACAGTGGCAGAGTTAGACGAAGAAGACGGTGGTGGGCTGTCGGAGATTTGGGAGGAACCTGTAGTAGAACACGGCGAGGCTGCCGACCTCCAGGGAGTAACCGAGGACGAACTGCGGCCTGAACCCGGGCAAGCAATACGGCCTGGACTGCCAGAAACTGTGCCTGGTGCCGTGGAGACGACACAAGAAGATGAGCGAAGATCAGGTGCATCGCCGGACATACGACAGCACATTCGACAAGTTTTGAGGCGGCGCATTGCCGAGCGGGCCACGAATCAACGGCGCCAAGTAACGAAATCCAGCGGTCAATCAACCGCACCCACATCCTCTGGTATGCCGGACAGAAGGACGGTAGACGGAGAGTCGGGGATAATGGCAGCCTCGGCAGAGATTAATAAGAATAGTGTGGCAGCGGTCGGGGAGGCCGAGAATAGCGGTGGCCGATCCCCAACCTACCGCATCGGAGCGACGACGAAAAGGCGGACTCGAGCAACGTCGGGCTCAGTTCGTAAGAAGGCGCGTACCAGACAGACGCTGAGTAGCGATGCGAATGACGACGTCGAAGACGAAGTACAGAGCCACGGACAAGCGCGGTCTGATGCACGAGCGGCTCGAGATACCCGAGCTGCTCGACGGCGTGCTGATCGTGACCAGCAGGGAGCCACAAGCACCGAAGAGACTAGTGCAGACGCGGATCGTAGGCTTTACGATGCTGGAATATCCAGTAGCTGCGAGAGACGTGCAAGTGCGGCCGGTGCGGCAGCAGGACCAGGGAACGTCTCCGACCAAGAAGGGGCGCAACAGGATGACTCAAAGAGCCCCGACGCGAGTTACGACGAGGAAGATGCCGTACACCCAGTCGGAGGACGAGGCGAGCGAGACGACGAGGTTGGCGCGACGGTGCAGACACTGCGGGGACGTGGAAGATCTCGCAACCAACCAAGACCGGAAGATCCCCTGCACATTGAAGTACATGGACCCATTGTCGAATGGGGACGACGGAGAAGGCGTAACCGGGCGGGACGGTACGTACTCGAGTATCAAGTCGAGTACAGATCCGTGGAGGACGGTCCAGTGGAGAAACGATGGCTCAGCATCGCGGAGTACGAAGCGTTGCTGGACGGCGGCAAGCTCGGGGACGAGCTTGGAGGGGATGTCGAGTAGGCAGCGTGCGCGTCACAGTGTTGACGTCGCACAAGACCCCGACATAGTGACAATCGACCTAACGGAGAGTGACGTTGAAGACAGCTAAAGAAGAACGTTGCAGTCAGCGACTGACGTGCGCTAGGATCTGTGGCTGGAGGTGGCGGCCAGCAGCTGAAAAGGCGTGGAGGGCGAGCAGTCGCCGAGAGAAGATCGCTCAGGAGGAGTGACACAGCGTCAGGTACGACAAAGAGAGTGCAACAAGGAGAGGCGACGTCGAAGGGAGAACTGGACGGTCAGGAGACCACGTGCATAGTTGGTAGGTAGGAGTAGTCTTCGTAGGAGAGCTCTGGACGGCCGGCGGTGGCCGCCTAACTCTCAGTTGCGATTCAGCCAGTACCGGGCAGGGTTAAGCAGCTAATATACGCGTGGGGTTCTGCGGTTCTGCGGGGCCGGCCTCACCCAACAGAGAAGAAAGACTTACTGAGCGAGGGTGACAGGGCAAACAGGGCATTGGTGCGTACTGAGGCGGTAGATTGAAGTGGCTCGTGGGTTCGGAGAGCGGGGGACAGTGGTTTGCGACCACTGAGGAGGACGCTGCTGTGAGCGACCCCTTGCCGTGAGGAGAGTTGTCGCCTGGAGCTGCCCAGTGGCTGTCTCCAGGATGACTTTGCATACTGTATGTCGTCGGCAGGTGAGCCGCGGAACCGAAGTCGACGCGGGGAAGCGCGTTCACCACCCTACCGCTATAGCCGGGCGGCACCAAAGGCGACTGAGACGCCGTGCAGCCACGGAAGTGCCTGATCTATATTTTTCGCCTGCGTGTCATGCATGACGCACTCCCCTCATCCGTGGGTACGACTTCATATGTATAGAGATCATTTTAAGTTGCCGACGTACGGAGAGACCACACCAAATTTAGCAGAACAATCCAACAACTGGATCAGGAGCGAATGTCGAATCGCCAAGCCTCTCGATGCTTTTGTGTTGTACTTTCGAAAATTGAGAGAGCTTGTGTCACCAAAGAGGCAACTGGCTGCTGCTTGGTTGGACAATAACCCATCCACTACGTTGGTGCCGAAGCTCGCAAAAAAGAGAGCAGGTCTCATCAAGGCTGCTGGATCATGCCAAATTACTCCGTGTTTAGTGGTGCGTACGACGTACAATATCTCGGTCCTATAGCGGAATTCGGATACATACACCCTTGGCGTTTAGTGGATCTACCTGGAGCGGAATGTACTTGTGGAAATTGGCAGGACACAGACTCCCCATGCGCCCACGCAGTAGCAGCAGCTATAAAAGACGGACGAGACTTGGATACTCTGTACAACGCTGAGAAAATATCCATCGGGTGGTATCCTCCACCTGGCAATGGAGGCACTTCAATGCAGACTTCATAAATTGGAGCCGTTTTTACAGCACGCCCCCGAGATGCAGCAACGATAGCGACAAACTGACATTACATGTGTTCCCTTTCAACTTTATCATCCAACCATCTCCAGATGCGTATACTTGGTTCACAGACGCTCATTCAACCACTCAATGGTGACTCTTCTTCGCTTCCAAGAAGGGCCTTGCACATGTTTCTTGTACTCTCTAGTGCTGATTTTGTTTGGTCTCAATTTAAAACATGACTTTTGTCGATTTGACCTTGAAATAGTAAGCCGATTGGCGTACGGGCTGGAGCCCGAGAAGCGTAGTTCTCAAACATCGAAGATTTTTTTTTGTTGTGAATGAGCACGAAAGTGGTAATGAATGGGTTGACAGAAAAGCATGAGTTGATGAACTGACAAAATGAAATGAGTAAGCGGCTCACCAATTGGTTGACTGCTGCGAGATGTTTGAACGGTGTGCCGACACTACTTGATGCAATGTTGAGTAGCTTCACGAGATGTTGACCTTAGTGAGCCCGTAGAGTTTGGCGTCGATTTGACAGCAGTTACGGTAGACATTGAGTTTGTTTGGTGTGATCATCACTACATCCCCTGGGCGCGGAAGCTTAGGGTCATCCATATCCACATTAAGTAGCGAGACAGAGATAAGAAGCTGATTCGCTTCGAACGGGTCGTCCTGCTGTGCTTGCTTGAATGCCTGATGCAGATATCATGTGAGAGTGCGGTATGTTCATGTTTTCTATGGCTGATTACCGGTTGCTGCTCTTTGAACGATTCCGGCGCCTGTCATTCACCAAAGTAGTGTCGTAGGAAGTGTAAACCGCGGACTGTGTCGAATGCAATCAAAAGAAGACGCGCCTTGATGCGCACTGATGCGCACACGTCCTTGTCGTTGTCGTCGATGTGCATGATGAAGTCTGTTTGACAGCAAGTGTTCGCTAGCATGTAGAGTAGTCGCTGTGATGGATGTCATGTTGATAATTACTTGCCGTCGACTGTATCAAAAACCTTTCTTTTGTGTTTTTCAAACGTGATCTTGAGTTTTTTTTTTAGGGGAGACTGATATCTCGTCGTGGGTTGATCGATCATGGGCCATGCCAGATCGTGCATCATCGTTGGTGTCGAACGAGGCCCGGTCATCACGTTGTCCGATGCATGCTTATCGGCTGCGTCTCTCTTGCGATGTTTCTTTGGTGGCATTGCCGTCGAAGGGAGGGTGTACTCTCGGGCTGAATGGACTGTGAGCTCTTCTATATGGCTGCTACGGCAAGGGACTATGCGATCGCCAGATGAAAGCACGAAGGATTCATGAACGCTTTATGGTGCCAGTTCTTGATCGTGTGCGACGAGGACGTTGGAGCAGTTCAACGACAGCAGCCTAACAAGAGTCTCTTCTCTTCTCGTCGCAGGCGCGGCACCGCATTCTTGTCGCGCAGTGCTGTTCTCACTTGAAGAACCAGGTTTGTGGCACTCGAGTATGACTGAACAATATCCGGTGCTGTTGATCGAGCGTTCGAGACTGTCCGCATCGTGGAGGCAAACGTGAGCATGGGTGACGATTGGCTCGCACGCCCAAGTGTAAGTTGTTTGTTAGCTATTCGAGTTTGATCAGAATATGTGACTTGTTCGTGTTGCAGAGCGATGTTCACACCATAATTTAAGAACATCACCAAGCTACGGCGCTGGTCAACTGTCCGCTCACGCGCCCGCAGAATCCCAGTTCCAATCGGCTCGATCCGGTGCCTGTTGACTTCTCCCTGTACATCTTGGATTGAGTATGTAATCGTGGTTGGAATCAAACAATCGGACAAGGTTTACCGAAGATGAGGTCGACCGAAGGTCGTTCGGTCAAAAACATCTGCTATACCCCCTACGACAGTTCTTCGAACTACGAACACACCACTAGTTGTAATTAATGAATTAATGATAAGTATTTGTGATAATTCTACAAACTGGTGGCAAGCTCAAAATAATTTGTTTGAATCTATAGTGTACCGTATTTGTGTTGTTGACCCTCTTAGCAGAAAGCGAAGCACCCTTGCACCCTTTAAAAATAATGTCTATTCGTGCATTTGAGAAGTACAGTGCGATCATAAATGGTTTCAATCTCGGACGCTGTAGCTACAGACAAGCAAAATATAGAACAGTCTGCTGTGTCTTGCAGACGTTCTGACGCTTTCGATTGTAGCTCATACATTTTAACGAGTACAATTCAGCTACTAATTGGTTAAATATACTACAATTCGTACGTCGTCTACCTGGACCATATAATTCATACACCTGATTAATACATCGGATTGCTGCGTTTTTAGGTGTCATTTACTCGAATTCGGTCTGTTAGCTTGACTTGAAGACCCGCACCCCACCACCACCACCACCGCAAATATTAGTACAGTAGAACCAATTGAATGCAAGACATAACGCCGACGTTCGATGGTTCGTCGAGGTTGTTTAATTTGACAGATATTTATTTTATTGCCTTCATATATGTATTTTTGCATACCACTCATGGTAAAGGAAAGCACGACCTTTACCGTATTAGGGACATGTAATGTCACGGTTTGGTGGGGCAATGATCAATGTTGCGTCACGGCCCAGACAAAAAAAAATGCGTGACCAATCCTTGGAAAATTATGATCGGACGGCGGGTGGTCTGTGCCGTGGGTAGATTTGACGCACTATCGAGAGATTTCATTGGCAATCTGTCGTCCCGGATGCTAGCAGACAAGGTGACTACGCTCAGCCGGGTTTACAAGCGAGTGCTAAAGTATCTCGGAAGGTCCAAGGAACCGTGAGTAGCCCGTTTGGCGACAAGCTTCGCGTCAGGGGTGTATTAACCTATCTGCCAGCCTCGGAAGACGACTTGTATAAGCTTCACACATAATTTAAGAAGAACAATACTTGTTTAATGAGATAGAATGAATAACGCTGCCACCTATGTTTTATGTGATTTTCATATTTACAATCTTACAGTATGTCTGAGTTGTACTATTCTGTCATTCGATTGGATTTATGAAGTAAGCACACATGCTGCATGTACGAGTTCGAACAAGAAGAACACTGTGCATTTTAAAGCTGTTTAACACCTCCACATGGTTTAAGTGCTTGGTTAAAAAGTACGTATATGTATTGAGCGTTAGCTCAAATATACCCAGGATTTTGTTTACTGTAATCGTCGTGGAGCACCAATATCTGGTCCAACTTAACTCTACCGAAATTAGCTGCGACACATTGACTGAATTAAACACCCAAGCGAGCGCTACTTTATCTAGCAGCTTTGATGGTGCTCTACCAGCTTCCTATTCGATAAAAATGATTCTAGTGGGCAGTGCTGATAAATACCCCTCAAGTGAGTGACTCAACAAGGTTTAGTCACAAAACCAAAACGTGACCAAAGCTAGACAAGAGCAAGGTGTGCTGTATAAGATAAATGATCTAAGCCTCCATGGGCTAT